TCAAAATAATTATTGATAAGTAGAACTTACCATAAATATCCACTATTAGATATAATATATATTAAGGACTATTTATTTTAGTATTTGTTGTCTTCTGTGTTATAGCTCCTTTGTCCCTCTTTTCTTTGCTGTCTTCCTTGGTGATTTTTTGGGGATATTTTTTCATGATATACTTCATTCATTTTTTTTCTGTGCATCTTTTATCAGTGTTTTCTTTTATCGATGTTTTCTTTGAGGCTACCATGGTGCCTATGTAAAACATCTTCTGGTTATAACAGTCTAAGTATGACTAACAAATTACCTTTAATCTCATATAAAAACCCAACACTTTTACTTCTTTCCCCCACTTATATTATTAATGTTGCAATTTACATCTTTAAAATTTTGTATCCATTAACATACTTTGTAATTATAACTACTTTTTATACCATTATTTTTAAATGGTATACAAAAATTAAAATTGATTTACACCTCACTTTTATAGTATTAAGTTATTCTGTATTTATCTATATCTATATCTTCATATTTTCTTTCTCCATTGAGATTTATGCTTTCATAGACATTCATGTCTTTGGACATGAAGAACTTTCTTTAGTATTTCTTTTAAGGTAAGCCTAGTGGTGATGAAGGCTCAGTTTTTGATTATCTGGGAATGTCTTTATTTCTTCTTAATTTTGAAGAACAGTGCCTTCTGGAATATACTGTTCTTCCTTGGTGTTTTTCTTTTTTGCAGCATTTTGTATATATCGTCTCAATCTTTTCTAGCCTGAAAAGTGTCTGCTGAGAAATCTGCTGATAGTCTCGTGAGGATTCCTTTGTATGTGATAGGTCCCTTGTCTCTGTAACTTCAAAGTTCTCTCTTTGTTTTTGTGTTTTGATAGTTTTATAATAATGTTTACAGATATGGATGTCTTTACATTCATCTTATTTGAAATTTGTTGGGCTTCTTGAAATTAGATGTCTGTTTTACTCCCTATTCAGGAATTTTTCAGCCATTATTTCTTTAAATACATTTCCTGTCTTTTCTGTTTCTTCTTCTGGGACTTCCATAATGCATTGATTGTTTTGTTTGATGATTTTCCATAAATGATGTGGACTTTCTTCACTCTTTCTTATTTTTTTTTCTTTCTGATCCTTTGACTTGATAGTTTCAAATGACTTGTCTTTGAGTTCACTGTTTCTTTCTTCTACTTGATCAAGTCTGATGTTTAACTCCTGCTACCAAGTTTTTCAGTTCACTTATTGCATTCTTAAGATCCAAAATTTCTATATAAAAATGTTTTGTATTTGTTGAAATTCTAATTTTGTTCATTTTCCTGAAGTCATTAGGCATCTTTATCACAATTACTTTGAATTCCTTTTTAGGCAGTTCACATATCTTGTTTCTTTAGGATTGGTTTCCAGAATTTGTTTTAGTCTTTGATTGGGCCATGTTTTCCTATTTCTTTCTGTTCCTTTTGTTTTATGTTCATCTTTACACATTTGAAGAAACAGATCCTTTAAGAATTGCTTTGTACAGTAAAATACTTTTTCAATTAGTCTGGCTGGAGAATCTGGAGACTTCTTAATCTTTTCTATGGATGCAAACCCTCTGCTTTTCTGCATGTAAGTTCCTAATTGGAGGTATTTTTCAGTTTCTAGTTTCAAAAGCTATTAATGTCTTGTTCCCTTTGGTGTCTGTCTGTTATACTGTGGCTTATCCAGAGCAGCAACGTATCATCCAGCTTTTTCATTCTTAGCAGCCCCTAGGCATCTAGATTATGTCTGGTCCCATCTGCATCTTGAGTTGTAAAAAGTCAAAACCAATCCCCATCAAAGTCCACAATATCAGATATACACTCCCAACTCTTTTCTGCCATAGGGAACACCTGGGAGTGGAATGTTTTCACCTGCTTGTTCTGTACTGAGCTGGAGTAAGGACTTTGGTGGGTGAGTGCCATCTTTGTTCTAATTAGCCTTCAATTTGGAACCATCTCTTTGTCAGTGTTTAGAGGCAGACAAGACAAAAAACAGTTTCTTGGGTGACCACCTGATAAACTGGAATATTGTTCATATGTTTCAGTCTTCTTTTTACTTCCTCAGGAAGACACTGTAAAGTATATTTACTCTGACCTGGTTACCAATTTGTCTGAATCTGATGAGACAGAATGCCTATGCATAAGAGTTACATGAAGCGAGTTTATTACTTACATCATCAAAAGACAGGAGAACACTGGGATTCATTGCAAACTGGTCTTCCAAGTCTCAGAAAAGCTGTCTAGAATGGATAGAGTCTTGTCTGCACATGACTCACTTGAACCACCCCCGAAGGACTCCAGAAATCAGTCTTCCCTGAGTTTTATACCACACGGAGTCACTGATATACAGCACTGAAGGCTTTTCTCTTTCTGGGATGGGGGCTCTGGAACAGAGACCAGATTGTCCCATTCAGTGCCCTCTTATCTTTGAATGTTTGCATTCTCAGAAAATAACTCTGCAGTTATTCTTGGGAACAACACCTGGGAAAAGGGGAATAGCTGGGTCAGTCCAAGGCCACTCTGAAAATTGTCCTGCAGAAGCCATGAGCTAAGAGTTTCCTTTCAATCACCTAAGACTGTGCTGGAGGAGGAATGATAGAAAAAGAAATGTCACAATTTTTTCTACCACCTTCCATATGGCTGATTTCATGGGGATATGGGAACCTCTTGACTGGTTTTGAATTTTCACAAAGGGAATTGATCCATGTATTGTTGTTAAGTTATTGTTTTCATAGAAATAAGGGTCTAGAACTTTCTTTCCTGCTATCATTCCTCATTATTATCACTGCTTCCTTTTTTCTTTTTTTAGTTTACTAATATTTTGCTGAAAATTTTTTGCATTTATATTTGTGAATAAGATTGGCCTATAATTTTCCTCACTTATAATGCCATCGACAGGTTTTGGTATTGAAGTTATTCTCTGTCATAGTATGTATAAGATTGTATATATTGTATATCCTTCAAAGTTTGGTATAATTCAGAAACTAGGCTCTGATTATTGAGTTTTCTTGTGAAAGGCCTTAAATTATAAATTTAAAAATAGCTATGTGACTAGTCAAATTTTGTATTAATCTTTATGTCAGCTTGGGCAAGTTTTATTTTTCTAAAAATTTTTCCACTTTACCTATTTTCTAATTTATTGCTACAAAGTTGTTCATCTCAGGATCGTTTTATTATTTATTATTTATTGCATCTGTCCTGATGTCCTTTCTTATGTTCTGGATTTAGGAAATAAAGTATATTTCTTTATTTTATAATCTATAGGGGGATCTACCAGTTATCTTCTTTTTTATTTCTAGCTTATACTTTTGTTCAAAACTATAGTACTTTGAAATGGTTTGAAACTTGTTTGCTTTATAAGGTTTTTATGACTACTTGCACATTTTATTTTATTTTATTCTTGTATCCCAGTTTCATATATCTTAACCAATTTTACTCTGTTCTCTAGTTCCCTTGCTCTTTTCTCTTTTTTGTCCTTTTTGTCTCATGCTTCAACTGATAACTTTTCTTTGGACTAATTCTTCCTTTAAGTGTGTCTAACTTGCAATTAAAGGTATTAGTTTAATTATCAACAACATATATATGTATATATATACATATACATATATACATATATATGTATGTTTACATTTTGTTTTTGTACTTTTTATTTTTGTAATGCCAACCATCCAATCTTATCTTTTAGTTATTTGAACATACCAAGTATAGCAATTTTTAAAATCTCTGTGGGTAATTCTAGTATAAGTATGGGATTATTTTTGTCATGTGCTTTTTCTCTTGGCCTTCTATCATGTTTTATTTATCCTCCAAAATAAATGTGTTCATGATACATGAATGTTATTAAATATAAAAAAATTGTAGAATAATTTGAAGCTAGAAGGATGCTTTCTTTATCCAGACAAGATTTATTTTTCTTCTATCATGTAACATTGGCCATTGGCAATTCTTGTTCACCTTAATCCAATCAATGATTGAGATTATTAGAAAATGAAATTACTGTTTGTTTCTAGTCCACACTTACTTCTTCTGAATCTCTTTAGAATCCCAACCCATAGCCTGTAGAGAGGGTTTCAAAGACACTCTCCTTATTGCATTCCAAAGTACAATTTTTGTGTCCCTAGCTCTGTAAGTTTAAGAAAAGCTTTGCCTAACTTCTCAGCATCTCAAGTGCCTCTTCTGAATTTAACAGAAACACCTCAAGAAAATGTGATCCCAGATGCTTAGCTTATCTCTTTGCATTAACTTCTTTTCCAGATCTTTGCCAATAACGTAATTCTTCACTGCCTTGCTAACCCTTTAATGCTTTTTAAAAAACACATGTATTTTTATAGTTCAACCTGCATTTCTAGTTTTCCTCATCAAAATATTGTTGTGATGACTAATAGTCTACCACTATAGGACTTCTATTGGTGTTAACTCATTTCATATTTTAATTTCTTCTTTTGTGAGCTTTTGTCTACATACATTCCTCAGTTTTATTTTCTAATTCACGGTTTGTCAGAGTACTATCTGTGCTCCAGCCATTTATTTTTGTAGAGAAGATTTATCAGAACACAGACATATTTATTTACATATTGCCTCGGACTGCTTCTACATTACTGTGTTAAAGTTGGGTAGCTGGGGCAGAGACCCAGTTGAAGGTATGTCAAATTAAATAATCCTACAGACCATGTGGCCCACAAAGGCTAAAACATTCACTACTTGGCTCATTGAGAAAAAGTTTGCTGACTCTTATTATAGCTTTATTAGTTTTTCTTTATTCTTTATTAATACTGAAGTTTATTTGGTCAAGGGATTTAAAAATTTTAACGATATTTTCATTTCTAACTTACATATTTTATATCTCTACCTTTCATTGTATTGTTTCTACGTGCTTTGAGTTTTAATAGAGAAAAAAGAACTCACTTAAACTAGAAGTAGAAATCTATGTTATGATCTACTATGTTATACCAAACTCTCAACCTATTATTGTTTTTCCATTAGATACAGAACAATGGCAGTGACAACAAGCTTGACATGGACTGATGAAAAGAGTCTGCAAAAGCTGCTTGGAAATGTTTCTTTGAGTCTTCTTTATAAGTCCAGTGTTCATGGACATACCATTGAAGATATGCTTCAGAGATATAGCAACCAGGGAACTACTATAACCATGATTTATGTTACTAGGAATTTTATTTTTGGCATTATGCTTGGAAATTTTTCTAATTTATATGAAGATTCTAAAGAGCCAAATAATTCCCTTTTGTTTTCATTTCAAAAGAAAAATAACACAACTGAAATGCAAACTTTACTTTTAAATCTAGCACTGAAAATTGCTGATAAACAACTAGTAGGTTATTTATCTGATGTGGAGATGTTTTCTTTATATCCAAGTAAAAAGAAACTTGTTTTAGATACAGTGGTAACACAGAAATTAATTTGTTCTTACGGTGATATTTGGAATGTGAAATTTTTCGAGTTGAAGGTATGTCAAATTAGATAATCCTACACCTTACATTCTGATTCTAGTCTCTATGTTTGGTAAGTAATAATTGATCCACAAGCCGGGCTCGGTGGCTCAGCCTGTAATCCTGCGCTTTGGGAGGCTGAGGTGAGTGGATTGCCTGAGCCCATGGGTTCAAGACCCGCTTGAGCAACTTGGCGAGACCTCATCTCTACAACAAATCAAAAAAATTAGCTGGGTGTGGTAGCGCGTGCCTGTGATTCCAGCTACTTGGAAGGCTGAGGCGGAAGGATCGTCGGAGTCCAGCAGGTTGAGGCTGCAGTGGCCCGGAGCGGCCACTGCACACCAGTCTGGGTGACAGAGTACGACTCCAACTCAAAAAAAAAAAAAAAATTTATCTACAAGAACAAGGAAATGTGAGGGGAACAATCAGATTTCATACCAGTTTATACTCTTTGATAAATTCCAAAATGAAACCTCTGGGATATAAAGATTATGAAGTTATTAGCCAGAAATATTGGCTGCTTTGAGCAGAGTAAGTTGAGAAGTATATGTGTAGAGATAGAGAGAGAGAAGACGTTGGAGAGAAAGTGAAAAAGTGACACACACACATGAGGGAGTGGGGAGAGAAAATCTTACTGCCAGAATTGGTCTTTTTTGACATGACCCAAAGATAAGCTTTAGGACTTTCAGGCGTAGTTATGTGAAAATTTCTAGAGCAAGTTAATGTGCAGAAAGGACTATTTTCTGTCCTCTTCCTCTTAGTATGTTGCCAAACCTGACTCCTCACTGAACAGCTCAGCCTGGGTTATGCAAGCAGGCTCAATGTCCTGTTTAAAAGATAGACTTGGCCACATTTAATCAGACAAGTAAGAAAACTTATGCTATGCTATGTTTACTTCCCATAGGAATTGAGGATGATCTAGGCTACAAAAAGAGGATAATGAACGCCACACCGTAAGTTAGATTCTTGAACTATCTTTTCTTCGTTTCATTTAAGTTAATTGTGTAAAAGGTGCTGACAATGAAACAGTAATAATAAAATTTGTGTCACTTGGAATTGTAAAAAATAGGTTATACTGTTATCAACGTAAAATGCTCATGGTGGTTTAAATCAACATCAGTAACAAAACTTCTACCAATGATGAAACTTTTAAGAGTCACCTGATGGCAGTTGATGGATTTGAGTTCATGTTTCCCTTTGTAACTTTTAGATTCAGAGTTTTCCAGATAGAGTCTAGATAACCACTTTAGAATAATTTCTCTAGATTCTTTCCTTGAGAATACATCTATTGAGAATCTTAAGTAAATGTTGAAAATAAATCCTCTTTTTCCAATTTGTAGATAGTTAGTTACATTGCATATATTTTCTTTTGATTTCTCCTTAATATATTTTTAGTGAAAATGATCGTTTATCTTCAGTGTTATGGATATTTCTCATTAGATGTGGTTTAAGACTAATAGTTTAACAATAGTTTGATCGCTGGTTAAGGTTTAACTTTACCCAGATGTAAAAATATGATTTTTTTTCAAGCATAAAAATGTATAACCTTAGACATTTCAAATAATATTATAGAAGATGCTACTATCAAAATAATAATTAAGTAACTAGTCATACCCTTCTAAGGGAAGGAAAATAATCTTCAGGTAAATTTAGATGTTCTTTATGGAAATTTAGCTGTTATATTTAACGATTGCATTTTGACAGGCACAGAAATAGTCTCCTAGAGAGCCTCAGAGCCTACAAGCCCTACGCAAACTTGGTTTCAGAAATACGTATTCTCTTGCTGGGTCCAGTTGGATCTGGAAAGTCTAGTTTTTTCAATTCAGTCAAGTCTGTTTTTCATGGCCATGTGACTCGCCAAGCCACAGTGGGATATGAGGACTCTGGCATTACAGAACAGGTAAATTATTTTAGGATTCCCTGATTATTTTATTTTATAAATTACAGCTATTGCCTTTTATTGCCCTTTTCTCTCAGAATGTAAAGCACTTTCCAATCTGCAATTAAACACATATTCAAATGTAAAACAGGAGTAAATGTTGAATCAGAATTGCCTCCATTGAAATATACAGAGTTTTCAAATTTCAGAGAAGCAAGAAGTAGTGACAAAAAATGCTTTTTGGTGCACATTGTAAAAAACTACAATTTTCTAAGGCTTGTACCAATCTTTGACCATTATAGTTGATGTCCATGTCAGCAATGCCCTACATAATTTTATCTGGATTGAAAGACTTTTTTTGTAATAAAATGAGAGCTATGTAAGACAGTATTTTTTTCATTATATAAGAGCATTCTAAGAGATGGTCATAAAAAGCAAAACAGCAATTCACTTTGGTGAGTCACACTTTGAAAGATAAATTGAAGGGGAAATCTATGGGCTTCCAAAAAATATCTTCTCTACAAACAAATATACTTAAAAAATAAGTATTGATAAAGATTTCTTAATTTTTGCTCAAAAGGTTTAAAACTAGGGTGCAATATTTATCTAAAGTATTATTTCTGGTTTTTGCTTGTCAATGCTATCATACAATAAAACAAAAAATAATGGGAAAGAATAGAAAATTTAGGATGTCTGTGTTTTTCTATGATTGCTACAACCTAACATTGTTGTCATTTGTGGAAGAATGTGTTGTGCACTGTCAAAGTAAAATTTAGCATAATATAAAACAGTAACAGCTCATTTTATCTTTTGTGTCACATTAAATAACTGAAACCATTTTCTAGGACTTTCAAGAATCACATCTTGTTTCTTGGTGTTGGTGAGATACTATCCGCTGGAGTGGCTTTATCTTAAAATCAGTCTGGTCTCAAAAGTCAAGGCAAGATACTGTAACAAAAATTTAATTTATTAAACATTGATTGAAATTTTCTATTTGTTAAATATTGCATTAGAATTGGAGACCAAGGTCTGCTTATGAGTAAGAACATATGGTACTCTGTTCTTTGTTTCTGTGATAGATCACTGAGTATAATAGACTCTAAATCCATCCAAGTTGCTGCAAAGTTCATATTTTTGTCCTTCTTTTTGGCTGCATAATATTCCATTGTGTATATGTACCACATTTTTTTCATCTAGTCCAGCTTCGATGGGCAACATTGTTGGTTCCATGTTTTTGCTATTGTGAATAGAGCTGCAACAAACACGCATGTGCAGGTATCTGCTTTGTAGAATGATTTGGGTTCCTCTGTATATTATCTTAATATTATAAGAAAGGGATTGGCAGTAGTAGGAAACTGCCAGGGGAGAGAGGGGCACACCTCATCAGCAAGGATACCTGCATAACAAACTTTTGTATACATAACCCTGAACTTTAAAATAATAAAAAAAAAGAATTGGAGACCAAAATATAATATTACTTAGTCCCATTGCTCAGAAATCTCAGAGACCAATAGGGGTAATAAACAAATAAGTACTACTCAATGTGGTATATGCTATAATAGAGGTACTATTCAGGGTAGAATTTCTCTGTATTCTTACATTCTAAACCTCAAAGATAATGTTTTAAGAACATGTAGATACTGAAATCCAAATGAAATATAAGTACTATATAAATTGAAGAAATATAGGGCAGAATTTATGAGAGAAACAGATTATTTTTATCGTTTAGAGACCCTTTCCTCTGAAGATTAAAGTTGTAACACATGCAAATTAATGGTTTATGAAACTGTGAAAGTGCATTTTTGCATTCTTGAAATTTAACAGTGTACTTTAATGCTTTGTGCAATTCCTTTCGTTTTGAAGCACCGGTAAGACCACTCTACTAGGCATTTCATGGACCAATGGGAGTTTTACTCCATCATGGATTACAATAGGTTGTCAAAGGTTTCTTCACTTCCTGATTTGGGAGTTGATATTTACACCTTTGCCAGCACCACAAATGGAAGAATTGCAATTAAGTACTGCCTGGTGTCTTTCTGAGAAGTGCTTTTCTTTGAAATTCTTCCCAAATCTTCCATATTTGTTGCCTATGTTGAAAGTGTATATGAGCCGGGCTTGGTGGCTCGGCCTGTAATCCGGCGCCTTTGGGAGGCTGAGGTGAGTGGATTGCCTGAGCCCGCGGGTTCGAGACCTGCCTGGGCAACTTGGCGAGACCTCATCTCTACAGTAAATCAAAAATTAGCCGAGCGTGGTAGCGCGCACCTGTAGTTCCAGCTACTTGGAAGGACGAAGTGAGACTCCAATGCAAAAAAAAAGTGTATCTGACCAACAAATAAAACATCTCCAGAGGTATTCTGAAAAATATACTTGGGATCAAATGAAGTGTGTTTACCTAGAAAATGAGATTTGGTTAAAGCTGTGCCTCTCAAAATGAAGTTTGTAGACCCCTGAGGTTCTATAAGACACCTTAAGGGATTTGTGAGATCAAAACTATTTTGCAATAATCTAAAGAATGCTTTTTCATCTGTTCTAGTTTATTAGCACTTTAATGGATTATACAGCATAGTTTTGCCATAGCACTTTAGCACGAATCAAGCAGCGGCACCACACACTACTAGTAGTTGTATTTCTCCCCATGACTGACTTGCAGAAAAAAAAGGCTACCACATGCCAGTTTTACTTAAGAATGTCCTTGATGAATCAATAATAATTAATGATTTTATTTAAACTCAACTGTAGAATACATATAATTTTAGTAGTCAGTGTGATAAAATGGGAACATAAATATCCAGTGTGATAAAATGAAAGACATAATGTACTTCTATGAACATTGAAATTTGACAGTTGTTTTCAGGAAATAGACTGGACTGATTGAGTTGTGAGCTGAACTTACTTCACATAACATCATTTTACTAGACGAGACAGCTGACAGACTTGCTTACTCATACTTGAATATTTGGCAGACATTTTAATGAAAATGCACAAAGTGAGCCTACCACTTAAAACAATTAAAAAAAAAACAAAACAAAACCTGACAGTGTTTGCTGCCAATGATAAAATTTGAGTTTTTTTTAAAAAACATTAAAATTTTGAGAAACTTGTACCCACTACTCTAAACTTGACAGCTTTCCAACACTTAAAGACTTATCTGATGGAATTAGTGGTTATATTAACAAATGTGATTATTTTATATTGTACAATAAAATATGTCAATATTTGGAAGATCTGGATAAGGCAATAACCAATATTTTCAAGTGACCAGTGCACTGGGTTAAAAAATAATGTGTGGATAGTTGTTCAAATGGCAATCGTAAGTCCTTATATATCAATAATTACCCTGAATGTAAATGTAAATACAAAGAGTAGCTGAATGGATGAGACTCAAATATGTGCTGCCTATTGCAAACTCACTTCATCCATCAAGACATGTATAGACTGAAAATGAAGAGATGAAAAGGTGTTCTATGAAAATAGAAACCAGAAGAGAGTAGGAGAGGCGACACTTTTATTAGATAAAATAGACTTTGCATCAAAAGCTGTAAAAAGAGACAAAGAAGGTCATTCTGTAATGATAGAAGGATTCATTTATCAAGAGGATATAATAATTATAAATATATATGCAGCTATTATTGGAATATCTAAATGTATAAAGCAAATATTAACAGATCTAAAGGGACAGACGATTCACGATCCAATAATAGGGGACATTAACACTCAACTTTCAGCCACAAAAATATCATTCAGACATAAAATAAGTAAGATGACATCAAATTTAAACAACACTAGACCAAGTGGACCTAGGAGATCTATACAAAACATTTTGTCTAACAGCTGCAGAATACACATTCATCAAAACTATATATGAAACATTTTCCTGGATAGAACATATGTTAGGCCACAAAATAAGTCTCAACAAATTTAAGAAGATTGAAATCATATCAAGTGTCTTTTCTGAACACATTGGTAGAAAACTAAAAATCAATGACAAGAAATTTTGGAAAACTGGAAAAATACATGGAAATTAAACAACATGCTCTTGAACAAACAATGGGTCCATAAGGAAATTAAAAGAAAAATTTGAACAAATTGAGACAGACAAAAATTGAACTACTATATACCAAAACCCATGGAATAGAACAAAATAAGTTCTAAGTGGAAAGTTTATAGCAATAAATGCCTACGTTAAAAATAAGAAAACAAATTTTTTGTTTATTATTTATTTATTACAATTTAGGGTTAGGTATATAAACACTGATCATGCAAGTACCCTTGTTGATGAGGTATGCCCCTCCCTCCCCTAGCAATTTCCCTCAACTGCCAATTCTACCCCCCCCAACAGTTTTTCACTACTGTCAATCGCTTTCTGATAGCATTATAACTGTACAAGGTCAGTTTATGAGTGAGAACATATGGAACTAAGTTCTTTATTTCTGTGATAAATCACTGTGCATGATAGACTCCAAATCCATTCAAGTTGCTGCAAAGTCCATATATTTGTCCTTCTTTATGACTGCATAATATTCCATTGTATATATGTATCACTTTTTTTTATCCAGTCCAGCTTCGATGACCAACAATTGGTTCCATGTTTTTGCTATTGTAAATAGAGCTGCAACAAACATACATGTACAGATATCTTTTTTTGTAGAATAATTTGAGTTCCTCCGGGTATATTCCCAGTAGGAGAATTGCTGGGTCATATGGAAGGTCAATTTCTAGTTCTTTCGGAAATCACCACACTGTCTTCCAAAGAGGTTGTACTAGTCTGCGTTCCCACCAGCAGTGTAGAAGCATTCTTTTTTCTCCACATCCTCACCAGTATCTGTTGCTGTTTGTTTTATTAATGATGGCCATTCTCACAGGGGTTAGGTAGTATCTCAGTGTGGTTTTGATTTGCATTTCTCTGATAATGAGTGAGACTGTGCACTTTTTCATGTGTCTGTTGGCTGCCCATATATTTTCTTTTGAGAAGTGTCTATTCATGTCTTTTGCCCACTTTTTAAAGGGGTTTTTTTTTTCCTTTCAGCACGTTTGAGTTCCTTGTAGATTCCAGATGTTAGGCCTTTGTCAGATATACATTTGGCAAATATTTTTTCCCATTCTGTGGGCTGTCTCCCTGCTCTCTTGATGGTTTCTTTTGCTTTGCAGTAGCTTATTAATTTGAGGAGGTCCCGCTTATCTATCTTATTTCTTAAGGTATTGGCCTGTAGGGTTCTGAATAGGAATTTGTTCCCGGTTCCAATTTCCATAAGGATGACTCCTGTGCTTTCTAAGATTCTTATAGTTTGAGGTTTTATGTTTAGGTCTTTGGTCCATTTAGAGTTAATTTTTGTGTATGGTGATAGGTAGGGGTCCTGTTTTAATCTTCTGCATATGGTCAGCCAGTTTCCCCAGCACCATTTATTGAATAGGTTCTCCTCTCCCCAGTGGTTGTTATTGGAGGCTTTGTCAAAGTTGAGTTGGTTGAGGAATTGAGACTTTGCTTCCGGAATCTCTATCCTGTTCCATTGGTGTATGTACCTGTTCTTGTACCAATACCAGGCTGTTTTGATTACTGTAGCCTTATAGTAAAGTTTGAAGTCTGGAAAAACTGAATTTCCTCATGCAGAAGAATAAAATTAGACTCCTATCTCACACTGCTTTGTTTCTTTTGCTAAGGATTGTTTTGGCTATTCATGGTCACTTATGTTTCCATATGAATTTTGGAAAATTAAAAAAAAATGGAAATTAAACAACATGCTCTTGAACAAACAATAGGTCCATTAAGAAATTAAAAAGAAAACTTGAACAAGTAGAGACAGACACAAATTGAACTACTACGTACCAAAACCCATGGAATAGAATGAAATCAGTTCTAAGTGGAAAGTTTATAGCTATAAATTCCTACATTAGAAATAAGAAAAATTTCAAATAAACAAACTAACATTATACCTCAAGGAACTAGAAAAAAAAAGAGCAAACCAAGTTCAAAGTCAGTAGAGGGAAGGAATAATAAAAATCAGAGAAGAAATAAATGAAATAGAAGCAAAAAAAAATATTTAGAAAAAAACAACAAAACTAAGAGTAGCTTTACTATAAAGACAAAAAAATTGAGAAACCCTTAGCTAGATTAAGAAAAAAGAGAAAAGACTGTAATAAATAATAAATAAATGACAAAGAAGACATTGCAACCGATGCAACATAAATAAAAAGGACCTTAAAAGACTATAATAAGCAATTATATACCAACCATTGGATAACTTAGAAGAAATGTACAGATTCCTTGACATATACAACTTACCAATATTGAATTTTGAAAAAATAGAAAATCTGATCATACCAGTTATGGATAAGGAGATACAATTAATAATAAAAAGTTTCCCATCAAAGAAAAGTCCAGGCTCTGATGACTTTATTGCTGAATTCTGTCAAACATTTAAAGAACTAATACCAATTATTCTCTTTCAAAAAAAATTGAAGAGGAGAGAATACTTTTAAATTCATTTTGTAAGTCTAGCATTACCCTGATCTCAAAGTCAAACAAGGACACCACAGAAAAAAGGGAAAAAAAGGAAATTGCATGCCAATATTCTTGATGACAATAGATGCAAAAATCTTCAATAAAGTACTAGCAAACCAAATTCAATAGCTTTAAAAAGAATGATCAAGTGGGCTTCACCATGAACAAGTGGGATTCATCTCAGTGATGCAAGGGTAGTTGAATATGTTGGTCAATAAATGTGATATATCACATCAACATAAAGAAGAGCAAAACTATATGATCATTTCAATAGATTCAGAAAAGTATTTGACAAAATTGAACAATCTTTCATAATAAAAACTCTCAACAAATATTTTATAGAGGGAATATATTTTAATATAATAAAGGCCACCCACAGCTAACATCATACTCACTTCAGAAAAGTTGAAAGCTTTTATTCTAAGATCAGGAAAAAGACAAGGATACTACTCTCATAAATTCTATTCACCATAGTACTAGAAGTCTCAGCCAGAAAGTTAGACAAGAGAAAGAAATAAAGGGTAACCAAATTAGGATGAAAGAAGTTAAATTGTTCATGTTTGCAGATGACATAATCTTACATTTAGAAAACCCTAAAGATTCCACCAAAAAAAAGCAACTGTTAGAACTAATAAGTTCAGTAAAATTGAAGAATACAAAATCAACATACAAAAATCAATAGTGTCTCTATACAATAGTCATAAACTTCCTGAAAAATAATTAAGAGAACAATCCCATTTACAATAGCTACCCGGCCCATAATTCCAGCATTTTAGAAGGCAGGGGTGGGAGGATTTTTTGAACACAGGAGTTTAAGACCAGCCTTGGCAACATAGCAAGACCTCATCTCTCCAGAAAAATAAAAAGTAAACAGGAAAATAAATATAATAGCTAAAAAATGATAAAATACTTAGGAATTAATTTAATTAAGAAGGTGAAAGATCTCTAATTGAAAACTATAAAACATTGACAGAAGAAATTGAAGAGGATTCAAATAAATGAAAATATATCACACGCCAAATGATTAGAAGAATTAATATTTTTGAAATGTCCAGACTACCCAAAGCAAACTACGGATTCAGTGTAATCCTTATCAAAATTCTAATGACATCCTTCACAGACATATAAAAACAATCCTAAAATTCAAAGGACTTTAAATAGCCAAAGCAATCTTGAACAACAGAAAACCAATGCTGGAGGCATCACACTACTTGACTTCAAAATAGACTTCAAAGCTGTAGTAACTAAAACAGCATGATACTTGTATTAAGAAAAAACTAGATCCATAGATCAATAGAGCAAAATAGACATCCCAGAAATAATTCCATGCATTTATAGGCAATCGATTTTCAACAAAGTTGCCATGAACAGACAATGGGAAAGGGAAAGGGATAGTTTCTTCCATGAATTATGATGGAAAAACTGAATTTCCTCATGCAGAAGAATAAAATTAGACTCCTATCTCACAGCATATAAAAAAGGCAACCAAAAATGGATTAAAGACCTAAATGTAAGACCCTAAACTATAAAAATACTAGAAAAAAATATTGGAGAGAATCTCCATGGCATTGGTCTGGGCAATAACTTTTGGATATGACCCCAAAAACACAGGCAACAAAAGAAAAAAAAATAGACAAATGTGATAAAAATAAAAAGCTTTTCCACAGGAAAGGTAACAACAAATTGAAGAGACAACCAGCAAGGAGGAAGAAAATATTTGCAAATGATACATCTAATAAGGGGCTAATAGCCAAAATATGTAAAGATTTCAAACAACTCAATAGCAAGAGGGAAAAAAAAAAACAACAGAAACAAACCTGAGCAAAAAACGGGCAAAGGACCTGAAAAGATATTTTTCTTACAAATGGCTAACAGGCTTCAGAAAAGGTGCTCAGTATCACTAATCATCAGGGAAATGCAAGTAAAAACCTCAGTGAGATATCACCTCACACATTTTAGAACATCTATTATCAAAAAGACAAATGATAACAAGTACTGTCAAGGATGTGGAGAAAAGAGAATCTTTACACACTGTTAGTGGCAATGTAAATTAGTACAGACGTTATGAAAAACATTATGGAGGCTTTTCAAAAAATTACAAATAAAACTGTCATGTAATCTAGTAATCCCTCTACCGGGTATATATCCAAAGGAAAAGAATTGAGTATGTCGAAGCGATGTCTACATGTTTATTACAGCCACACTCAACAATCACCAAGATATGGGATCAACGAAAATGTCATTCAACAGATGAATGAATAAATAAAATGTGGTACATATATAGAATGGAATATTACTAAACCACAAAAAGAATGAAATCCTGTCATTTGTGACAACATTGGATGAATTTAGAAGACATTATTTTAAGTCAAATGAGCCAGGAAAAGGAAGAAAAATACCTCATGATTTTATTCATATGTGGAATGTAAAAAAGTTGATCTCATAGATGTAGAGAGTCAAATGTTCCGGGTCTAAGGCAACTGGGGGCAGGGGTTGGGAGTATGTTGGTCACAAGAGACAAGGTTTCAGTTAGTTAGATAGAAGAAAGAAGTCCTGGAGCTCTGTGGCACCACATGGTGACTATAGTTAACAATGTATTGTATTCTTAAAAATGACTAAGTGAATATAAAATGTTCTCACCACAAAAATGATATATATGTGAGATAATGCATAAGCAAGTTAGCTAGATTTAGTTATTTAACAATGTATATATACTTCAAAACATGTTGTACATGATAAAGATATATAATTCTCTTTTAGTTAAAAAACAGAAACATTGACATTTTCCGGTTTAATTTCTAATTTAATAAATATCAACAGATATAACCCAGGTAAATAACATGTCTTTGAGATCTTTATCCATTTTTAAGAGCCTAAAAGGGTCCTGAAACCAAAATGTTTGAGATCCAAGGTGCTGAAACAGTAACCAGTCTCTGTCCTTCCTGCCTTCATCGTGTCTTTAACGCTAGTTGAAGAATGAACTTTTACAGTTGATATCTCTTTTTAAACAGTATAGGATATATTCTGTTAAAGATGGAAGAGATGGAAAACCTCTACCATTTATGTTGTGTGACTCCATGGGAATACATTATGAAGAGGGAACAGGACTGTGCATGGGTGACATTCCCTACATCTTAAAAGGATGTGTGTCAGACAGATATCAGGTACGTGTTCTTCAATATCCAAACCTTTCCAGTCATTTTCGTCAATATCGTCCATTGAATTTTTACTTCTTAAGGTGATCTTAACCACCATAATGTGGTTCCAACATCAACCAACACTACTTTAAATGAAGAAGTATTTATGTTAGAAGAGTAGAGTAACAGTTGTTCTTTTTTTTTTTTTAAATCACATTGAGAAATAAAAGCAAAGGGCAGGATTCTATTCATCCAGCTTCCAGGAATAAGATAAAAGGGATATTGTTTTAAAATCACTCTTTACAATGATACAAACTAATAAGAAAGTAGTACTTTAATCTCTTGTAATTTTTGGATCACATGGACAAAATATTTGAACAAGTAACCACTTTCTGTTGAAGTGTGATGTTATAACACAAGTGCTTAGGCTTTACTACTAAATACCTAGATCCTAAGATTGGCTCTGCTAATAACACGTGTATCCATATGCAAGCTCCATACTTGTCGAAGTCTTTTTTTCTTTTTTCATTTGTGAAATGTAGGTATTAATAGTGTCCATCTTATAGGGTGGCTGGAAAGATGAAATAAGATGGTGATGAACTCTAAATTCTCCAAAAGCTAACCAGGATGATTACCTTTCTTTCTGGGGTGGGTATCATTGAATCAGCCTCGATTTCTTAAGAGTCACTTCCTTTGCCTCCCAACTGTGTTTAATTGGAAACCTTCCCCGTGGACTCATTTGTTCATTCAAAAGCCATTTATTAAAAACTTAATTTGTGCCAAACACTAAACTAGAATATCAACACAATCCTTATTCTCAAGGAGTTCACAATGTTGTTAAGGAAAAAAAAAGGCAGAAGGATAAAGGGAAGAGGAGCAGAGTGGAGAGATGGGAGAGTTTAAGGCACAGTGACACCCTTGGTTTTCATTCCCTCCAGTCCAACCTTGAAATATGTGGTTTTGAAACAATGCTTTTCCAGACTATTACACTGTTTTGTAATCTGTTTCTTTAATCGTAGAAAGATAATTGCTTTATAGTAAGGAGACATTAACTTGAAAGTTGATATTTTTGTCTCACTTCAGTTAATTTTTCTTCTGTAAAATTAGAATGAATTATAGGATTTTAGATTAAATAGCATTTTAAGTATTGTTTGCTCTGTTTTATTCTCTCTACCCATGAGTTCATTTAAGCATGCACTGCTTAGACAAGAGTCTTAAATTGTATTTAACAAATGAGAAGGATATTTATTTCTGAACACTAAGATTTGAAGTTAGCTTACAAACATCTGTTGTACTTTCCTGAAATATTTACAATGGATAATTATCATTTTGACGAAAGCAACACATTTTTTTTTTTTACAAGAGAGTGATTATAACATTCTACTCACAAGTGGAAAGAGAGTATAGAGGAGGAATTATTAACGAATTTGGGGAAAGTGTAGCTGGCAGGCAGGAGAGAAAGTTTCAGGTTGGGGTTTATGGCGACAGTGTTTTAGAAACAAGAAGTGTGCCTCAAAAAATTAAGCAGAGACTCTAAATTCTGAATGTGACCTTCTGTTTCTACAACAGTTTAACCCCCACAGACCAATTACACCTGAGGATTCTTCCTTTATTGCTTCTCCATCACTGAAGGAACGGATTCACTGTGTGGTTTATGTCTTAGACATCTACTCTGTTGGCCTTCTCTCCTCTAAAATGAAGGCAAAATTGAAGCAAGTTCACAATGAAGTATTAAAGTGCGGTGAGTCTCACTGTATTTATAAACATGTATTTCAAAATAATTATAGATTACAGGAAGTTGCTAAGAGAGGACAGAGAAGTCCCATGTATTCTTTATCCAGTTTCTGAGCTTTGGGTCCATAGTCAGAGCAGGTAGGTATCATTCACAGTCTTGATGAAGTAATGCCCTGGATCCTTACCTTCAGGCCTTAAAGACTAGATCGGCTCTACTATTTTTTATCATGTATGATTTTCCTGTGTTTCAAGATATGGAGTCATCTTCCTATACTATGTGGCTAGACCTGAAAGATTACAACCAGGAAACTGATATTGAAACGGTGTGTGTGTGTGTGTGTGTGTGTGTGTGTGTGTGTGTGTTTGTGTGTTGTGTGTGTAGTTCCACATCATTGTATCACATGCAAATTTATGTAACCATCACTATAATCAAGAACATGGCTATTCCATCGCTTCATAGATTTCAGTCACTGTACCCATCTGCATAATTTTGTCATTTTGAAAATGTTATCTAAGAGAACAACCTTAGGAGACTGGATTTTTTTGACTTAGCCTAATACCCATTGGCCTCCATCTGGGACTTTGTATGTATTGATCATTTTTTTAAATTGCTGAGTACTATTCTGAAGTATAGATATATTACAGTTTAATCAATCTCTATCAAAAATATTTTATTGCTTCCAGTTTATCAGGGGCTGTACCATATTAATATTCCCACCAGCAATAGATGAGAGATCTAGTTTTTCTGCATTCTTTACAGTATTTGATATTGTTGCTATTTAAAATTTTGTAACGCTTCTAATAGTTGTGTGGTGATATCTCATTATGGTATTGATTTGCATTGCTTAGTGATTAATAGCATTGAACATCTTTTTATGTGCTTATTTGCTTTTCATGTAGTCTCTTCAGTGAAATGCCTCTTTATGTCTTTGACTATTTTCTTATTAAATTAATTGTGCTTTTTAAGATGAAAATTTAAAAGATCTACAAATTTTAGCCATGAGCCCATTGTCAGATATATGGCTTGCAAATATTTTCTTCCAGTCTGTAGTTATATCTTTGTTTTAATTATTTTCAGCCCTGACATCTCTCTTCTGCCCTGGTAGTCTTGGGACATCATTTCTAGATCTTTTGTTACAGTCCTACTATCTATCTACCATCTATCTCTAGCTATCTATCTTCTATCTATCTATCTATCTATCTATCTATCTATCTATCTATCTATCTAATGTCTCTTTGCTCTATTTTTCAGAATGAGTAATTTCTATTGTTAAAGCTTTAAATTCACTTATTCTTTACTTTCCATTCTATTTTGAGCGTATATATAGTGTTTTCCATTATGGTTATGATATTTTTTATTTCTAAAATTTCTTTGGTTCTTTTTCATAACTTCAATTTCTTTTTTTTCATATCTTCAATTTCTTTGCTGAGATTTTTTGGTTTTCGTTTTTTAAGCATGTTTCTGCTTAGTTGTTAAGCACTTTTCTGGTAGTTGCTTTAGAATCCTTGCCAATTAATTCCAACATTTTTGTCATCACCTCATTAGTATCAGTATCTTCTGATGGCTTTTCTCATTCAAGTTAATTTTTTCTTTGGTTTTTGGTGTGACAATGATTTTTAATTGTATCTTTGATCACTTGATATTTTGCTATGAGACTCTGGCACAGTGCAGGTATAAATGTCCTGACTTCCTATTTGCTTTTCTTCTCTGATACTACCTTGGCTGGGGGTGAGGGTTGGGGATGGAAAAGACACTTCTATGGGTGGGGCTGAGATGAATTCTAGGGTGTTTGGCAGGGGGAGTGTGACTATTGGCTGAAAGTGTTCTGTCTTGCTAGGCTGCCCCCTTTCTCATGCTTTGGCTAAAGAGAACAGGTTTTGCTTTCACTTTTCTATTTTATCAGTTCTAATGAGCATTTCTGGTTATGGGCTTCTCCAGGAGCCAATCCGAGACATATGAAGTGGAAAGAATGCCAAGGGAACTAGTCTCTGCATTGCTTCTTGGGTTCCAAGCTATCTAGCCAGTCTTCCTTCTCTCCAATTTTTAACTTTTATGTTTCATTTATGTATAATGTTGAGAGTTTTTAGGTCTACTTAGTTGTGTGAAGAAAAAGGAAAATGAGGTCTACAACATTTGGTTCGGAAATGGAAAACCTCTCACTGAACTTCCAAACAATTGTAATGGAAAGGACTGTTTGGGCATTTATTCTCTAGAGCCTCATTATTTAGCATATCAGTAGAAAGACCCTCGTATTTAGGTTCTGAAAAGTGCTATGGTATTTAATGTATTGAGCACTTAGAGTCTATAATACTGAGTGATCTGTCACAGAAACAAAGAACCAAGTACTACATGTTCTCACTCATAAGTGGACCTTGAACAGTTATCAAAATACTATAAAGAAGGGATTGGTAATAGTGGGAAACTGCCAGGGGAGGGGAGGCATACCTCATTAACAAGAGTACCTGCATAATGAACATTTGTATACCTCACCCTGAATTGTACCCCACATCTTTAAAATAAAAAAATTTAAAAAAATGTACAGAGCACAATCTTAGTGGTTAAATGAACCTGGTTTTTAAATAGACATCAACTTTGATCTTGAGCCAGTTAACTTAAGTGCACTGAACTTTACTCTCCCTTTCTGCAAAATGGGGACAATAAGTTCTGCATCTGAACTTAATAGACTGTGTATAAACTTAATAAACTGTGCTACAAATGTCTGAGAAGTAAACACTGGATATGTTAAATGTAGGCATATAAGCATATATAAGCATATATAAGCATTTACCATCTCTAATATTAGGATGGGTTTGGGCTAAGACTCAGTGAAGTGCTAAGTTTTGTAAAGAGTTTTTCAAGGACAGAGGGTTACACACCATGCTGGGTATGTTGAGTGGCAATGTTGAATGCAGTGAACTGTGCTGACTTAGGACCTCTAAGAGGACATTGCATTACATCTGAAAGAGAAGAATTACATTGGAACAGAGGTTGAAAAAAATTATACATGTCAATTGAGAACTGCCTTTCCTAGTTATTCTACTGAAACTTGGATGAAGAGAAGATGGAAAAGTCAATCATTTAGCAATGGGAGTCACAAGCATATTTCTGTTAGGGAGAAATACTCAAAGCACTGGTAAAGGAAGCTCTGTGCTTCCTTAACTGGCTTTTGAATTGCTCCATTTTATAATTATTTTTTTCCTCAGAAGTACTTATTAGAATAGCAGAAATTTTACTTGTTGAGAAGCCAAGTGAGATTTAGTAATCTAATCTCTGTGGTTTGAAGGAGAAGCAGCAAATGCTTCATGGAACTATAAGATCAGTGCTGTTTGCATTTATAAATGCTCATACACAACCCTCCTCACTTCCTCTCTTTCTTGTGGTTCCTTTTAGTCCCCAAGGTCCAGCAATCACTTTTTTCCCTTGACTATTTGAAAACATCCTATTTGAATGAAATAGTAAATTATTCTAACATACTGTGAACCTAATTGCCTTTAAAAGTAATCCCTTGGGCAACCCCTTCGGGTCCCCTCCCACTGTGGAAGCTTTTCTGTCCTCCCAATAAATCCTGCTTTCTCGCACACACAAAAAAGGAATCTCTCACGTTGGAAGAAAAAGATTATTTCTTCATGAGAAAAGCTCCAGGCTCCATATTGATTTATTAGGGATATTTCATTCTCCAACTCTTAAAATCACTCTCAAGAGTTGTTTTTGCACATATTTAATAACTTGATGCATTGCCAATTATGATACTATAATTGCTAATGGTGATAGCTCATCTACTTTTTACAGGTACGGCACATGTAGCCTTGCTTACTAAAGTGAGGAATTGGAAAGAAGTTCTTCAAAACAACTTTTTAAACATGGCTGAATCGATGACTGCTCAAAGCCAGGTAATGAATGCTGTTTATAACCAGATGTTATTAAAATGGTATTGTATTCATATTCCTGTGTGTGTTCTCAGACAACATGTCCACAGATAAATGAAGGATCGAGTAAGTGCCTGCTTATTTCAAGTTTATGTCCCACTTTAAAACTGTAATTGTATAAACTATAACGATGTTCTGAAAAGAATTTCTCAAGTCATTGCTTTTTGGTTTCTTTCTTAAATTGTATTTAAAAATCTGTCAGACTTAAAATATAAGGCTGTGCTTCTTAAATCTATTTTCCACAGATAACAACGGTCAACAGAATGCTAGGAATTCCTCTTTCTAATATTTTGATGGTTGGAAATTATGCTTCTGAGTTGGAGCTGAACCCCGAAAAGGACATTCTGATTCTCTCTGCACTGAGGCAGATGGTGCGAGCAGCAGACGATTCTTTAGAGGATCTAGAAAATTGGTAATCTGGTCTCTTTCCTCTCCTCTTATAAAGCATGGATGCCTTTTGTAAAACCCTAAGCTATACCTCAGTCAGCTGGCTGGTGCTCATCAGCCTGTCCTGGTCGTGACAGTTCTTTGAGCCTCATTTCTGCTCTTGTTTGTTTTCAGATGAGATCACATGAATTTTCCAGCTCTGCATGTGACACGAGTGGCCTTGATTCTGGCATTTGGCCCAAACCCATGCTGGTGTGCCCCTGTTAGAGTCCATCTCTGTGAACAGCCTCCTTCAGACTCTGCTTTGGTTCATGGTCGGCTTCTTGTCCTTAGATCAGCCACCCCTCACCTCCAAAGGCCAAGTCCGAGAAGTAGCAGACGAAGACAGGTCTGACCACCAACCACCCTCCATATCTCTGTACCATTCACAATGTAGTTTCTGAGATCCCTTTCCAAAACTCTCCAGGCAGAATTGGCTATCCCTTTACTTATTCTTCTATAGCATTCTATGTAACTCTATGTGTACTAATCACATTGAATAATGATCCTGGAATGACTATGTAGATATCTGCTTTCCTAAATAGATTGTGCATCCATTGAGAAACGGAGTTAGGTTTTTGCTTATCTCATATTCACAGAGCTTAGTACAGCATCTGGTAATAAGCAAGCATAGGTGCCACTGCTTCTCCCTCCCCAGAATGACAGCATCCACTTTAAAAATTTTTTCCATGTAGAAGGGAAGACTGAGGGAGAATGAAATATAGGAGAGAAAAATGTAAATTAATTAAAATGAGCCAATGTTTCTTAGCAATTGCATGCTATTTCTGTGAAAAAAAATTTCTTCTTCTATTAAGCTCGTGCTTGATTTTTATTAATGGAATACCAGATCATCCAAGCCATGTCTCCAAAGCAGAGAGATCAAATTAGGTTACCAATGAAATCAATAAAAGGTTTGTAAACAAGTGCCCCAAATGGTTCTGAAGTCATCTTAGTAGCAGTCAAAGATAGGACTATGAATAAATTAAACATGAATATAAAAAGATAGTTATCAGTTTTTTTTCTTAAGGACTTACTTCTCTTCTCCAAGTTTCTTGGTCTTTTTCAAAAGAATATATACTGGATTAATGGTTATGCACATACAAACAATAATCTGATTCATTTACTTTTCATCATAATTATTCTCTTCCTTTGAGTAGCTGTGGGTATTACGAAGGAACATATTCTAAGATCGGTCACATACTTGGCCATAAATCAAGCATAAGAAAATTTAAAAGGACTGAAATTCTACCATGCACCTTCTCGGACCACAGTGGAATAAAA